GAAGGAGAGATGGTGTAAGGTGTCCTTCTTGGGAGACATCACCCCCGTCTCTTCCCTCACCGGGGTTTTCCGGTCTGTCTGCCGGTAGCGCAGCTGCAGGGCGCAGCACTAACAGCTGATCCCTAACGTAAACAAAGGAGCTATGCGCCGAGCGTCCAAATACGGGTGAAAAAAGAGGAGACAAAAGAAGAGAAGAGTCAACATAATGCATGATGGCAGAATCTGATTGCTAAGACATAAGTTAAAGGTTAAGAGAAATAAAGAGGAAAATAAGAAAGAAGCTCAGAAATGAGCACAGCTGCCATAACAGGTAACACAGTTAAGGTTTCAGAAAAAGCATTCTGTCGTTTGTTTGCTTGATCATGCTTTAAACACATCAAAATGCATAGTGGGATTATAATACAAGTGAATACTGTGACAAGCACTGGTACTGAATAGGCAATCACTTAGCAGCAAGGTGAATCGGTGATGCATTAGTGTGGTCTGCACTTCCTCTTCTTTGATTGGGTGAAATGAGTTGAAAGTAATTGGATGAGGGAACCATGGGGAGTGCTCTGCATAATTTCAATAAAACGCTGTTTTTATGCATCTTTGAACGGTGTTTTCTGCCGAGTGACGTAAAAAGCGGCATTTAAAGATAGACGAAAACACAGTTTTTTCCGCCACTTGGATGGTGCATTCAAGGCGCCATGTGAGTGGCGGAAAAAACGGAGTTCTGTCTGGACAAACGCCGGTTTTTTTGCGTTTTAAATAATTAAACTGCGTTTTTTACGCCATTTCTTAACCAAACGGGTTAGAAAAGGGGCGATATTTGACACTAATGGCTTGCCATACCTGATGGACCCAGGTACGGCGAGGACGTCCTTTACGCGCTGATCTGCTCTCCACAGTAAATAGAGAAGGGAGACTCTGTCTTCAAGCGCTAGATTGACAGCTGCCATCTTGCAAACATACCGTCTGGCACTACTTCCTCCCACATTTCCGCTTCACGCGTGATCAATTTGCGTTGGATGCGCGTCGAGGTACGAATGTGCACGCGACCAGCTAGGGGCGTCTGGCGCGTTTTGGTCGCGTCTATCGTGTTCGGTGTGAATGCACCGTAAGAAACAATTTCAAAGGCTTTGGGACTCCACTGGTACCAAATTCACAAACCTTTGAACAGTTTGAACAGTTGCTATTTGAAACAGCCTGTTCTCCCCTGTACTGTGCACAATACTATACAAGGCCCCAAAATAGATTACAGACTTTATAAAGGAATTTGCTGCATTTCTGACTGAAGTCATGATAAAATGTGACTCCTTTCTTATTGTCAGGGATTTTAATATTCATGTGAGCTGTCCAGAAAAGTTCGATGTGTGTCTGTACCCACACAAAGGTGTGGCCACACTCTCGATCTGGTTTTAGCGCACACATTGCCTGTTTTTAATCTGAAAGTCTCTGACCCTGTTTTCTGTCCCTGTTGTTAAATTCTTTCACAGCACCACGGTTCTCCACCTACTATAATCCATTCCTGAGACACTCAAACGTAGAGGAACTCAGTTCTAGGTTTCATACCACTTGTCAGACTGCCTTGGATATTGTTGCCCTTCTAAAAATCAGTCATGTTAAGACAAAGCTTGAACCCCGGTTGAACGATGAAGCCCGCGCTGTGAGGCGTGAATGTCGTAGGGCTGAGCGGAGATGGAAAAAGATAACTTACAGGTCTCTTTGCAAAATGAGAGCGCTGGTCCTTATATAAATTCACAGTAAAAGAAGCAAAGCGGAAATACTTCGCTAACATTATTTTGATAAATTATCGGAAACCACATATATTGTTTAAGTCAATTGAGACCATTTTAACCCCTTTTCAGTTTTGAGCCGTCACATGAAATGTGTGAAAAGTTTCTGCACTTCTTTATAAACAAGGTAGCTTCGGCTAGGGCGCAGATTATTTTGCCCACATCTGACGCCTCTGATCCTCCAATTTGCTCGGCTGTCTTTCAACAGAGTCGGTTACTCTTGCTCAGCTGCAGGAGGTGGTGGATCATCTAAAGCCTGTAGGCTCGCCCTACGATGCCACCCCTCCCCGTTTTCTGAAAGAAGTGGTTTTCTACCACAGGTTCAACTGTTTTAACCATTTTAAATAGCAGCCTTACCTCAGGTGTGGTTCCAAAGAATTTCAAAGATACAATTGTGCAACCACTTCTTAAGAAACCTGGGCTAGATACAAATCCGGTTTTGAAAACTTTAGACCAATATCTTAGCTGCCTTTTTTATCTAAAGTCTTGGAAAAAGTAGCAAGTAACCAATTGATCCTGTACTTGAATGCACAAAATGTTCAGGAGATTTTCCAGTCCGGTTTTAAAGCAATGCATAGCACTGAATCATCACTTTTAAGAACTTTTAATGATATATTTTTATCATGTGATTCTGGTGACAGTGTCATTTGTATTTCACTCGATTTAACTGCTGCATTTGACACTGTAGACCATGAAATTTTAATCTCGTGTTTGGAGCAGTGTCGCTATAACAGGTGTGGCTCTGAAATGGTTCAGGTCTTACTTAACAGATCGATCCTTGTCAGTTCGCCTAGGAAGGTGCGAGTCCTCCCGTGCTCCGCTGTCTCATGGAGTACCACAGGGTTCCATTCTGGGCCCTATCCTGCTTTCGCTTTATTTACTTCCCTTGGGCTCAGTTTTTAGGAGACACAGAATATATTTTCACTGGTATGCAGATGACTGCCAGATTTATGTTCCAGAAAAGCCAGATCGGGTCGGTTGTAACCAATGTTCCCTCTAATGTTTCATGTGTCTGAGCGAACACACAAACTCCCTGAGCGTCCCTTGGACCACTGTGAGCAGCAGCAGACGTGTGCACTGTGGTCACGCCAGCATCCAATCCATCCAAGTTACATGTTTATTAAAATAATCAAATTACAGCATTTACATTTATGCTAGACTACTTTTAATTAACTGCTTTAGCCCACTTACAATGAAAATTAAAAATAAAATCTTGTTCATGACCTGTAGTGTGTTAACACTATTGGAAGTAAAAATAACTTGAACTCCAATTGTTGCAACTTTCATACATAAATAAAGCCGCGGCCGGCTGAGTTGGTTGTGTCCCTGTGACGCGCCGCCAATAATCCATAATGAGTCGTACTTGTACTTTGCACATTTATTTTAGGAACAAAACAAAAACAAGCGTTTGCGCTTTCAATCAATTTACAAATAGCGCATGGATTACAAGGTGTGCCAAAAAATGACGGTCAACAGAAAAGTTTGCCCACAAACCACTCACCCAACACACCTGCTGCGAACACCGAGACCTGGGGCCTGTTCTTCGTACCTCGCTAAGTGAGTTAGCTGGATGAGATTGTTGACGATTTCGCGTGATCCAGGATCGTTCGGTTCCCCGAAGCCCATCCGGGACTTGCTGTCATAGCAACAGAGCCATGAGCGTAAACCTGCTGGGGAGCAGGTTTACTTTATGTAAACAGGATTAGATCGCGGCCACGCAGGTATGTCCGCTTCATTTATACGAAAGCAACAGCGATATTCCACCACTGTTTCACCATAAATAAATATTACCATTCTGTAGAATATTCTTATATTTC